ATATATATATATATATATATCACATATCTTTGTGTATGTGTAAAACAATTTTAAAATGAAAATTTAATATAAGATAAAATGTTTAGCACTATGTCAAAAGGTTACCTTTTATAACTGATTTGGGTGATTAAATACATTTAAATTTAAAATAAAAGAAAAAATAAATAAATGTAATTACATTTAATAAAATATATTTAATTAAACATTTTGTTTCTCCAAAATATTACATTTGTTCTTGGGATTAAAAAAAATCTATTAGAATATTTCAGATAACAAACAATTCCCTTTATCGGTGATGTAAAATTTTAAATTATAAATCTTATCCAGCAGTTTATGTCTACTCAATGTGATAGAAAATAGTAACATTACTTTTATGAATTATAGGCATATTTTTTTATCGATCCCTTAATTTGTCATCTTTGAAAGAATCATACTAAAACATTTTAAAGCCTTTTTCTATTTCTTACAGAGAAGAAATACTTTCCAGAAAGTTCTATACTCCATGTAATAATACAACAATACATGCAGCTTTTCTGACCTCATATTAATTGAGAGAGTACATGGAATATTTATACTTTTCACTTTTCATTTGTCACACTGCAGGACTATCTGAAATGAAGACATAAAAATCGACCCATAAGAATGTGCATGCTTTCAATATTTCTCTCACAAGTATACGCTTCGCTAAAAAAATACAGAGTCAATTTACAAAAAGAAAGTCTGCAGTAAGAGTAAAGAAATGCAAAAGGAAAAAGAAGATAAAACAATCTAGTTTGGGAAGCCAGGATGAGAGAGATTAAAAGTGGGACGTTTCAATAAAAGAAGGAGGATCTGTGAATACGGAATAAGAAAGAGATACGGAAAAGGGAATGAGGCATGAGGAGCAAAAGAGAGAGGGAGAGAGATAGCAAAGAGCGGGTTACATCACAAATCACAGCTGGGTTTTAATCCAGAAATGCTGTAATCCAGATTGGGACTAGAAGCCCCCTCCCCCCATTCCCACTCGGAGATTCCATTGGACGGGCAGCTGTTCGGCCATCTGGGGCAGGCGGTGGGGGGTTGGTAAGGGAGTAATACATTTATGCTGTCTGGAGGGGAAGAGAATGAGGGGAGCTTATAAATCTACACTGAGGGGATGGATTGACAGATACCTGGATGGAGAGATAAAAATGTAATATGTAAAGTGAGGCTGTCAGAGGGCCAGACGGACCAACGGAGGCTTGTACAAGATGTCCACAACACATCAAAGTTCCTCTCCATTTAAAACAAGACATTTTTCCTACTAAGGAAAAAGGAATAAATTAAATTATATATCAATTCTTAATTTAGAATGTAAAAATATGTCAATTTGCTAAAGATTTATGACCCATGTCATGCTCCAAAATGCTCTTTCTATAAATAGATCATCAATGGAATTATACAGGTAATTAGTAAGCAACAAATTAAACAAGATGGTAACCGCCTGATCGTCTGCACGTCTCAGGAGTAGCTGGATTTATTCTGCTACTGCAGTACCTAAGCTTGCGCCACAACTGTAACGTGCCTAATATATCTCAAACGCTCGCCAGCGCTGTGACTTATGGGCCGGACTGCATTCAGGTTATATCCAAATGAGAATGCTTCTGCTTTAGTGTTGAGTCGGCTTTGCCTCATGAGCCATCATTACTGCTGGCAATATAGAAACATTAAAGTAGGCACTATACTGTAAAAATAGATTTTTCGAAGATTATTAGAGTATGTTTTATAAGAAAATACTGTGATGTTCTGTCATGTTTAATTCAATGTTACTTGCTGTTTCTTTGTAATTAACTAAAACTTATGGTTATAAACCAATTTTTTTATTCAGTGTATTTATTCTTTTAATTTGTATATTTACCAAGTATCTATACTAAACTATAAATTGATAGGTTAATCTTTAAAACAGAGACTAATATAATCATTTTGATTTTTGAATCAGTTGATATTTTTAGTATTATTTATAAGTGAAAAACAAAATCTAAATTCAAAATGTTTCCTTTAACAAATTTCTGTTTAAATTCTTATGTAAATTAACTGAATGCAACAGTTTACATAAGAATGGTTTTACAGCTTATTTACATTACAAATACATTTCTTGAATTAGGTCAGATGTTGCATTCAGAGATTTAATTTGAACAGTTTTAATTTAAATATGTATCTTAAAATAATTTAAATTAAAATAGGACTTGAGACCATGAACTCCAGATGTGAAAAAACCCAACCCAGCATCTAGTCAAATCGTACTAAATATCCCAGAGCGCACCTTAATATTCTTCCACCAGTACTTGTTTTTCAGTTTAGCAGCACTGCTCTCAAACTGCGATGCTCCGGCCTGCAGCGCGTCCGCCCGGTCGTCCAGTTCTGATAGCTTCTGATCTCTTTCCAGAACCTTGTCCACATTCACACGCATGATATCAACCACCTGAACACATTTGCAAAAGACAGACACAGCAACTTAGCATTTAAGAAATCAGAGACATTACTGCACTGAATCAGTGAGATTCAATGTGAAACTGAAAATCAATGAATAGAAATATATACGTCTTCATAGACACTTAACATTGGAAGCAATATTAGGATTAATATTGCATGAGAGACTGACTAGTACCTCAAAATTTGATTGCATGTAAATTTTATAGTTCCAAGAAAGTCCATCCAAGAGTCCATCGAGCTCTGATAAATTTTAGTCTGCTCCTCTAATTTTACTGACTTCCTCACTGCTATAATTAACATTTTTACTAATATATATAATGTCACATCCAACATATTAAAAGCCATAAAAAAATATACTGATCAGAATATAATATAAACTTGAAAAAGTGCAGTATTTAGTAGCTTTAGTAGACTTCCTTGCAGGGGCGTTGCACAAGATCCCGGGCCCTATGCATAGGCAGTCCTGATGGGCCCCCATGCCCCCCCCCCTACCATTTTAGTTTTTTTTACCCCCAGTCTGACGCCCCTGCTTCCTTGAACCATAGGCCTGTACTCAAGTTCTCACATTTAAGTACAGGCTACAGAATATCTTCTTCTGTCTAAATTTTATTCATTATAAACGTTTTTTTTTTAAATTTCTATATTTTACTCTTTAATTTAGAGTCAAGATTCACCTAGTCCAGCTTGTTTTTCAATATCATATTTGAGTTCATATTGGTAGGGTTTACCTCATCTACTTGGGCCTGTGTCTGTTGGAGACGACGGTTGCTGCTGAGGTTGGGAGGTTGGGCGCCTGGGCCCCCCTCACCCTCTGGGGCTCCAGGGCTAGCAGTGGCATCCGGGGCAGACCTGAGGGGAGAAGTGACAGGGATTGTGAAGGCACATTTTTTGTGCCTTTAAGGCATCCTCTGCACCACTGGCTCTGCATAGGCTCAATAAGACACATATGAATGTTAACAAATTAATTAGAATTGGGCCTAAATTCAGCAGGCCATGATGCAGTCAAAGCTCAATAAAAAGCCTGACAGATGTGGGATAAGACAGTTTAAATGAAATTTGTCATAAAAAAAGCATTACATCACATTAAATGGCTGGTGCTAGGGTGCAAATTAAAAGGGGTGAGGTGTTCCCTGGGTCTATTTAAGGCTCCCAAAAAGAACAAAAATGTCTTATAGGACCCTCAACCGTGTTTTCAGTAGCTTAAAGTTATTCAGCAGGCTACACACTTGGAAACAGAAGTCGCGTTTGCATTGGGAGGTAAGTAACCACAGCAACAGTAGGCCTAGTTTGCTCGATAACTTTGTTAGGATTGGCACTGGACGTAGATCGATAAAGATACAAAACACTATAATAACGAACTTATATGTTTTGTTTAAAACGCATTGCTGATAGTTATTGCTGGGATAACGATTATATGGGCGGCAAAAGCCGCTCGAGACCTGCTTGCGTCGCGAAAATTACTGAAGGCCGTCGGATAGTTCTCAGTGTTTAGTGCAGGTAAGTTTTGTGTATGTATTTAGGACCATGATTTCATAGGATTCTCGATGCAGTTTCCCCTAAATTCCGATAGATGGAGCAGGGCACTAAAGTCCTCGCAATTTATGATGTATCAGCTCTTAAAACCGGAGAGATTTTGCGGTGCTGTTATCGAACTCTCCGCAGACACCGAATTACATTTGCTAAATATAATACAGAGAGCACAATAAATTGCGTTTTAATATTTCAATACATCTCAGGCATAAAAAGTAGTTTAAAACAAAACCTCAATAATTACTGAATGAATAAGGGTTTTTGCTTTTAACTACACTAGCGTTTTGTTGGAAATATACGGTACTCACATTTTGCTGGCAGGTGCTTTATAAAACAGACCGTCGTCACCAAAGATACAGAGAGAGAGAGAATTAGTAGTCAATAGCCAAACTTCTTATATCGACGATAAAAAACATACACAAGGAAGAAAAACTATGTATCGTAATAAACTCTATAGCAATACAGTATATAATAATTCCCCGATGATGGAAGCATGAAGCGATGTCTAGACCGCGTCATCACAAAAAGTGCTGCATTACCGAAAGAGCCTCAGGCGACTAAAGCCTCGAAACACAAATCCAGTCTTCCCGTATGAAGAGCTTCCTTCAGTTTCTCACACTGAATGCGACTATATATCCTGCTGAGAGCACGTATTGGGAAAAATATACGCAGTCAAGTGACGACTTAATTAAAATGACAGGCTTCAACTGTTGTTAAGCTGTTGGAAATAGCAGTAAACCAAGAGACATTAGCATGATAAACGCTTTTCTAGAACGGATTAAAACGACCTGGACGAAAACAAAATAATAGTCCTCCCGTCTCCGCATGAAAGTGTATGTATATGCCTGAGTGAGAGAGAAGGGGAGGGGATGAGGATGAGAGAGAGAGAGAGAGAGAGAGAGAGCGAGAGAGAGAGAGAGAGAGAGATCACGAACACTCACTTTCTTTCACACACACACTACCGCTCTAACGTTAACGGGACAGCACTGCGGTGCTTGAGCATACTGTAGCTACACTTTCAACCCCTCACAGGCCAGGTATTTTAACTAAGAAAGGAGGAGAGGCACAAAAAAATGGGCGTATGCTTTAGAACAGACCGCCATCATCTCAGAAGTGATGTCTTGGAGCTTTCTGCTTGCATAAAACATGATCTGCACATGTGCAATGCTATTCATTTGTGTATTTGTGTCATTGTGGTTAATGCAAGTGCCATGCAAATCCTTTTGAGGTGTGACATGAAATCTTTTTCTTAAATGCAATATGCCTAAATAATCCAAACTAAATGGTAAAATCTCTTTAGGCAGACATGTAGGTTGGCATTAGTGTCGTTTTGGCTGCATAAGCAGCAAACGGAAGCAGTGCAGCCAATAACAAAGCTCAGCAAAGTGCTACAGACAGTTCGGTCGCTGTGGTAACAGCATCACTGTGACTGCTGAGCTCACAGCAGCAATCAAAGAGAGAAATATTCGGCCCTGTGCCCAAACTATGGCCAAAGAGCTGGCCACTAATGGCAAAACTGTGACTCAGATAATCAACCAATTGAATGAGTTGGAAACAGATTATATGACAATCAAGGAAGAGCTGTTTTTTCCGGTATATAGTGGATGAATCATTCTGTCATCAAATTAAACATTTCTTATATAGTTTAGGTGAAGGTCTAATTTTTGGATTCAGGATTCTGTGAAACATTAGAGAATGGTTTGAAGAAAGCATTAAAAAAAAAAAATATTTTTTTTTTTTGGGAAGTTAACCGATATGTCCATGAACATTAAGATTTCAAGTTAAAAACAAAAATATTAAGCAGCACAACTGTAGTGACCATTAATGATAATAAGAAATATTTATTGAGCAGCAAATCAGCATATTAGAATGATTTCTGAAGAATCATTTGACATCAAAGACTGGAGTAATAGCTGAAATCGCAGGAATAAATTACATTTTTAAATATATTTAAATAGAAATCAGTTGTTTTAAATTGTAATAACATTTCAAATAATTAACTTTTTATAATAAAAAAAATCAGCATTAGTGAACATAAGAAAATTCTTTCAAAAACATTAAAAAAAAGAGAAAGCAACTGGCATGGTCACCATTTAAAACTTGTAGCAGTTCACTTAAAGTACAAATATGTATTGTGTTCATTAAATTAATGAGAATAATAATGCGTGTAAAATAATAATACATGAACAATTGCAGTAACATCAGTTCAGGCACTGCCGTCACTGCTCGAAAAATATGTAAACTACAAATACAAATTCTTCACCTAATACAGTGGGTCAATTAATAATAAGTTAGAGCACTTCATGCAAATAAGATCCAAGAATGGGCCATGTTTTCACTAAAATAATTTATTTTCAGCTTGTCCATCTTGATATCTACACAGTTTTACATTTTCCAGTTTGAGACCATCTTTACAAGTTTCATTGATCTAGATATCAGATATCTAGAATCAGAACAAATTCATATTTTTAATAAATAGTAGTCTATTGCACAAAAACATTCTTAAACCAGGAGCAGTTTAGAAGCCCTTTTCTAATGTTGCCTCACAGAACCAACAGTGTGTTTGGGGGAATACAATTTCCCTCATTCACATACTATTCATAGCACACTGATAAACATTTGTTTTAAACATTCATTTAATTTACATTTCTTCTTTTTATATTAACCACTTCATATTACTAACGAAGACTTTGGATAATGTGAGCCTGTGACCTTAGATTGCAATAAATGGCATAATATCACTTCAGTTCACACAGACCCGCTTACATTTATGGAAACCAAAGCTACACGAGTTGGCATGGTAATTTACTGCAGGCTATGTCTGAATAATCACAGAAGCAGCTCTATTGTTTCCATGGTTTACATCTACAAGAAAATATCTACAACTACATGTTGCTGCTAATAAGAGTTAAGCAGACAGACATTGTTAGCATTATTATGAAGGTTTTAAAGCAGATGTGTGCCTGTAAATGCCTCAGCAAGTGTCTTAAAGTATAAATACAATAAACTTTCAAAACCATCCATTCCACATCTAAAATCAGAATTTCAAAAATCTCTCAAGATATACAAATATGTTAGTTGAGCCTTTCCATTACGGTTTGTTTTGCCAGTAATTATCAGTAAAGCATTCATAACTTGATAAATATAGGAAAAAAAAAAAAAGAAATACCCAGCATACGGACTCATAATTAGATTTATGCATATAAAGTTTCATCAATAAGTGATTTATTGGGACTACATAATGTTTTTAAAGTGAATCGAGATTATATTCCTTCAGTTTAAACAATCTAACTGCTCTTTCTGTTTCGGACTCGTAAAATCGTAAATTGTTTTGGCTAAAATTGGGAAATTGATATTGGGAACCCTCTTTAGTCAAATAAATAATTAAACAAATAAAAATAAATAAATGGATAAATAGCATAGGAGAAGTTCAGCGTGGAGAGTGGAAATAAAGTGGAATACATTGCCCTCAGCAGCACTTAACATGTTCAGCCATCACTTATGCATAAGTGCATAATGACTCAGACTTTTTTGACCTAACTAACCAATTTGTTTTACTTCTTATTTACACTGATGTCACTTGTTTTGTTTTGTTTTTGAGCCAAATGCACTTTAAGAATGATCTTTGTAAACTGTTTTTGTAACCCTGGCCCTCACAGAGGGAATCTAATAAAATTCACTTTGAATCTGTTTTTGACTAATGCTAATGCAACTAAATGGCTTATGACATTGACTGAGGCTAAGCGATCAAGGGCAGGTTACAGTGCGTGATGACACAACGCTAAAGATTTAGACATCTTCAACCAAGAAACACAAACAACAAGGCCAATGATTAGTCATCTGGCCTTCACCCACGGCACAAAATCACAGAATATATAAGAAAATGAAAGCAGACACCCACACACTTCAGTGTGCACTTCACGCCAAAGTGTTGAGCACTAAATACTGGTCCCAAAATTATCTCCACTCAGAGCTGCAAAAAGTTGACTGCAGACCTTTTTAAATATCACTTATCATATTGCTGGCATCGCTGGTAGCTGATACATAAACTGCTAAGTGCTTGTTCAGAAATTAATAACTTGCTCTCATTATTTGAATATCCAAAGTTAAAAAACCCTACTGTTGTGGTTCATTGAAACAAGTTCATAATATAATAATTTAATTAACTAAAAAGACATACATATATATATCTTTTTAGTTAATTTAGTAAAATTAATATATAGTTTCATATATAATATAAGTAAAACATCTACAATGATAAAATGTTAATTAAGAAACATTTCAGGTGTTTCCTTCTTTTTTTCTTTCTCTTTCTCCACTCAAAATGTTGCAAACAAAACATGTTTTTGCCAATTCCTTTATGACATCATTCTCCAGGAAATTACATAATTTTTTAAAACAAAAGCACAAAATAAGCAAGTATTAGCAATTAGGAATACTATGTAGTTTTTTGTGTGTGTGTATTAGTTGCCTTGTCTTATTTAAAACATTCAATCTTTTTGTAATTTGTAATATGAATCAAAATTATTATTAAAAAAAGAATTTAACATAATGTAAGCTAACTCTCAATTCTTCATTTCAGCTCTTCATCTTGTTAATTTTCTCGACACTGTGTAAATAATAAAGTTAGAATTAATGAAGTGCCTTTTTTTTAATAGAACATATTCCTTAAAGTCCTCATTTAAATATCTTCCTTAAATGACAAATTACAGAGTTCAAAAGGTACTACATAACACGAATGACCCAGGTGTTTATCTGCATACAAATAAACTGTAAATAAAATTATGTAATCTAGAAAGAGTGATATCACATCCACCCTCATATTTTTGGCCAGAATTAATATGGTGCTACATGCTGGATGTGGAAATGTTTTTTTTTTTTTTTTGGACCATTGATTGTGCATGCCAATAGAGGGCACTAGTGAAACTACACAAGGTTACTTGCCTTTCAGAAGGAAACTATAACCCGTTTAATTTGGAGTCTTGCTGCAGCATCACAGTCTCTATTATGAAATTATCACTACCTTATGTTTATAATTGCAGCTATTTCTGTGGTGCTGGAGGTACATAAACGCTCCTAAGCCTTTTTCCATGTGTGGTCCGGGACAGCGGAGTTCGTCTGCGTGTCACAATACGGTTCAGTGCTGTCAGAATTTGCCGCAGTTGCTTTTTTCCTCTCCTTCTCCGCATTCTCTCCCTCCTCCACAGCAACCGAAATAAGAAGCGGGGATTTTCTGTGAAAGAAGGGAGATGTATTGAGTGACGAAAGTGGGTGTGTTCCATTCAGAAATAAATGCGTGTATGGCTTCACCCTCCACAGTAAGCAACAAGGGGTGAGGAGGTCAAAATAAACATTCAGAATGCACTTGTATGTCATCTTTCACACCATTTTTTTTTAATTCAAGTTGGCCGCTGATACGGTCACACAATGGTTTACACCTTCAGTTGCAGCTAATTTAAAATCTTTATGCACCATTTTTTGCACCGTTTTTTTGTAATTAACAAGAGTGCAGAATTCAGTTAGCGAGTGCACGCTCTGAACAAATAAAAACAGATAACAAATTGTGCAACATAAGCAGATCTTAATTTAATGCTGCAATCGACACCTTTCATTCATTTTCACTTTGTTCGCAACTTAATAGATTTAGTTTAAAGGGGTCATATGATGTTGCTAAAAAGAACATTATGTTGTGTATTTGGTGTAATGCAATGTGTTTATGCGGTTTAAGGTAAAAAAAAACACATTCTTTTCCACATACTGTACATTATTGTTTCTCCTCTATGCCCCGCCTTTCTGAAACGCATCGATTTTTACAAAGCTCATCGGTCTGAAAAGCGAGGTGTACGCTGATTGGCCAGCTATCCAGTGCGTTGTGATTGGCTCAATACTTCAAGCGTGTGACGGAAATGTTACGCCCCTTACTATACTGCGATGCCGTGTCCTGTGAGCGGAGGCCGGCGGGTTTGAGTGAGCGGAGGCCTTAACTTTTATAAAGAATATCTCTTTGGGTTTGAGACTTTAGTCTTTGCAACTTTAGGGATCTTATCTATGCATGAACAGCTTGTAACACTCCAAAGAGAAAGGAAAATTTGAAATGGCATCATATGACCCCCCTTTAATAGTGTAGGGGCATTGTTGGCTATGCCTTTCCCAGCCTTACACACACTCCGTCTATGGTTGTGCACAGGTGTAACAGCGTTGAAGATGTGCTGTCCCGATCTAGAAGCACTCTTCATCAACTGTTAGCCATTCTACTCTCTGCGGGAGTTTTCCTCGTTCATTCTCGTAAGTGTCTACATTCTTGCAAAAGCATGTGTGAATGCAGTGCTGCAACAGCTGGCTGATCAGATCACAGACACAGAACAACAACACATGGACTCTGTTATAATCATCCTCTGTGACTTTAATAAAGCAAATCTTTCCCGTGAACTGCTAAAATACAGACAGTATGTTACATGTCCTACCAGAGACAGTAATATACTAGACCACTGTTACACCACAATAAAGGATGCATATCACTCTGTCCCACAGGCAGCTTTGGGGCTCTCTGATCTCTGTCTGGTTCATCTTATATCAACCTACAGGCAGAAACTGGAATCAGCTAAACCTGTAATAAGGACTGTAAAGAGATGGACTAATGAAGCAGAGTGGTATTTACAAGCCTGCTTCGACTGAACTGATTGGAGTTTTTTTGAAGCTACTGCCAACAATCTGGATGAGCTCACATAGACTGTAACTTCATACACCACTATCTGTAAGGATATGTACATCCCTACCAGGACTCATTTAACTTACAACAATGACAGACAGCTCTGTCAGGCCAAAGAAGATGCTTACGAGAATGGGGACAGAGTCTTGTATAAACAGGCCAAAAACACACTGACAAAGGAGATCATAGTGGCTAAGAGAAACTACTCCGAAAGCTGAGAAACCTGTTTTCAGCCAATGACTCTGCTTCAGTGTGGAAAGGACTGAAAGACATCACCAATTACAAGACCCCATCCCCCAGCACTGTGCTGACTCAACAACTAGCCGACAATTTGAATGAGTTCTATTGCAGGTTTGAAAAACCCCACACACCCCACAGGCACCACCATCTCTCCGGACCTGAAGTGGGAGTTCCACATAGACTCCATTGTCAAAAAGGCCCAGCAGAGGCTGTACTTCCTTCGCCAGCTGAGGAAATTCAACCTGCCACATGAGCTGCTCACACAGTTCTACTCTGGAGTCACTGAATCCGTCCTCTGCACTTCCTCTGAACTGTCTGGTTCAGCTCAGCTACCAAAACTGACCTCAGAAGACTACAGCATATAGTCCGGATTGCTTAGCGAATCACTCATACAACCCTCCCCACTCTCCAAGAACTGAACTCATCCAGAGTGAGTAAAAGAGCTGGCAAAATCATTCTGGACCCCTCACTCCCAGCCCACTTCCTCTTTGAACTGCTGCCGTCTGGTCAGCGCTACAGAGTACTGAGCACCAGAACAGCCAGGCATAAGAACAGTTTCTTCCCTCAGGCAATCCATCTCATGAACAGTTAACTTGCCAATAAACATGTAAAACTCTACACTATTTATACATTTATTTATTTAACACACCATACTTCTTTCCTTGCATTTGTACATAACACACCTGTACACACAAATACCATGTATTGTCTATTTGTATATTGTGTTTTTCTTCAAAAATGTGTATATTGCAATTTCCTATTTACTTTTCTATTTCTATTTTTATTATCCGTCTTGTCACTGTCATTCTGTTTGTGCTGTGGAAGCTTCTGTCACCATAAGAAATTCTTCGTATGTGTAAACATACCTGGCAATAAAGTTCTTTCTGATACTGATTCATACTCATAACAACATCACAAATATTATTACATTACGTTTGGCAAAATCTTGTGCAGATCTATGTCGGGATCTGGTTCTGATGAAAAGCAAAGAATCTTTGGAGAAAACAGTCCATTATTGACTATCATGATTAGTCTCTTTTCAAAGTCTCTGTGTGTGTGTGTGTGTGTGTGTGTGTGTGTGTGTTTGTGTGTACCTGTCTCCACTCTGAGTGATTAACCGTCTGCAGGTCTCCATCTGAACATCCAGGCCTCTTTTCATGCTGCATATCTCCATATATTCATGCAAATGCCTGTTCATATCCGACTTAGCAGTTGCCAACTCCAACTACATACAAACACAACACAAACTTTGAGTAACAAAAAGTCACTTTAAAAGGCAAACTTTAAAAGATCATGCGATATTATCAAGAAACCTCTCTATGTTGTTTGCCTTGCTTGATAAAATGCTGTTATGTGTTTGGCTAAAAACACCTTCATGTAGATGTTTGGGCACAAGCAAAAACGTTTTACCTCAATTTGGTCAATGGTGTCTTGATACTCCTTTTCACGGGACTTGAAAAGGGACTCTGTGTCCTTTATTACTTTCTCTATGGACTCCTCCTGCTGTGTGAGACAGTGTGAATTAACAAAAGAAAAATGTTTGAGAAGTCTTGAAGTTCTTTCTCTACATAATGGAAATATTTTGCAGAGAGTGAGAGAGAGACATCTAGATGAAATGTATCAAATTAGTTAAAATGGCAACTCATTTTTTTTTTCTCCTTCGTTTGCTTTTTATAGCAAAACTGATGAGCCAACAAAAACCACCAAACTGTAATAGGTCTAGCATGAGCGTTTTCATATTACGCTTGTATGACAGGGCATTTTATCTGTGTCGGCTCAAAACAGTTGGATGAGAAAACAAAGTAACAGTACAAAAATAAAGCAAATCAAAAAAAATAAAATAAAATGATGGTGCAGCAACACCAGAAGATAAAGCTTTTTACTACAATACTGTAGTTGTTTTTCTTAAAGCAATTAAAAACTCTTTAAAAATGTATAAACTTGATGAGATTTGATGACTTGGTTTAAATAAACATTATGTGAATGTAAACTTCAATTTCATATTGGATGTTTAAATGACTTTTTCCCAGGTATAACTGGATCTATTTCATACATATATTTATCATGCCAATTTCATTTCCAAAGTCCATCACTGGAGCTGAAATCAATTAAGACAAACGTACATCTCCTTGGTTCTCAACACTTAAGGTGCATCCTGGAAAATCTTCCCAGAGTAATAGAGTTTCCTCCGTCTCTTCCCACGCAAGACTGTCGCAGTCATCGTCAAACTCACACTCACGCCTGTGCCATACGAACAAACACTAATTATCTTAAATTATTTTAAACAGTCTGTATTCAAATCCAATTAAGTGTGTGATCCTCAAAATAACAACACAAACCAGAATGTATCAGCTCTATGATTGTAGTAGACGACCATTTCTTTTCATTAGAAGTACTATTTATTTAGTTGATGTGCATATCTTCTTGCTAATTGAGAAGTAATTTATTATGTTTGAGTAAAACTGATTAACAGGACTTTCTTAACTGAAATTTCTGACATTCAATGGAGCCACTTACAGTTGGTTAAGCATCCTCTGCATCTCCTCATTGATCTCCTTATTCCCGCTCTCCTCACTTTCAGAGATGCTTACTGGTTCATCACTCTCGTTCCCCTTGAATGTCTGCGACGCTGGTTTTCGAAGACGGCGGGTCAAGGTTGATGGAGGTGTGGCTACTTGCTAGAAAAAAGTAATGTGAATGAAAAATTAAAAACACAGAATATATAGTCTTCGGTGTCACATGATCCTTCAGAAATCATTCTAATATGCTGATTTATTTGAACTCAAACACATTTGTAACATTATAAATGTCTTTACTGTCACTTTGTCAATTGAATGCATCCTTGCTGAATAATAAATAATTAATCAATTAAAAAATAAAACTCTTACTGACCCAAACCATTTGATAGTGATGTAAATAAAAATCTGGTATAAATTCAAATATAAAAAAAAGAAAACCTTAAAAGTCTCTGAGAAAGGCGGGACGTAAGGAATGGTAAAAACACACAGAAAATAAGGTGTATCTGTATGTAATGTATTTCATGTAACTGCAAATGCAAATAGTGATGATGAAAGACAAACCTGGAAGATTTGAATCATGTCTTCGCAATTTCTCTGTTGGGCTACATCACACAGACGAGCCGTGATGTCAATCCTGCGACAGATATCCATGTCCACTTTCATGGCCTTCTCCTGGATTTTACTGTCCAAATCAGAGTGATTCTAAAGGAGAGAGGATGTGAAAGCCAGAACGAGACAAACTGAAATGGAGTGGATAGATAAAGAGGATCAATTACTCTGCTGAGACATTTGTGGGACACCATTTGACTGGACCTTTTTTTGTGCTTCCATTGAAATAAACAATATTGGCTAAATGAGGTATTTTTCAGGTCGGGTCACATGAATGTTGTCATTAACTCACATTGCTCATGAGGCCTTTGAACAGAACCAGCTCTGCTTTAAGCTGCTTAACCCTCAGAGTAAGTTCATCCTGACACACCTCGCTTTCCTGCAGGTCCTGAAACACACACACACACACACACACACACACACACACACACACACACACACACACACACACGTCATCAGATGCGGCAAGTGTAGACAGTGGAAAAGATCTTAAATTAATCAGAGTCTTATTTTAATTAATTTAAATATTAAATTGATTTGGTTTTACCTCTTCAAGCTCTGCAACCTTGTCCTGTAGATCCACCCGCACTGTGTATTCATCTTCCCATCTAGAATAATTAATAAAACCAGAATTGGCCAAACCTCAAACTTTTTTTTTTGACCTTAATCAGGGGAAATGCCATATCTATTTTGATGTGCATTCAATGAGTTTTACTATTGTATACCTTGGCTTTGATCATCCAAGAAAGTATTAAAAACAGACTGTAATGAATTCTACTGTGGCTTCCTTATAATTATGTCATAAATAAATAAATAAATAGCATTCTATTTTTATATTTATTATTCTTGAAAAATACTTTTAAAAGTGAAATGTGTAATTTCTGTGCCCCTACCATAACAAACAGAATTGACCTTCATTTGAATGTGCATTCAATGGGCTGTACTGTTGTATATAGAATTCAATTAATTTAATCATAAAAAATGTACTTTGTAAAAAAAAAAAAGAAAAAAGAATTTGACTCAACTTAACCAAGTCTGTACAGCTTTATGAAAGCAAACATGAAACTTCACTTCCACACGTCATAGAAATACAACCACTAGCTAAGAGCGAGTGAATCTCAGCTAAAAATAGAATCTCTCATGTAACATGACCCTACACTTTGGGCTGATACTACTCTTCTCATGTAGTAAATCATCTTCTTTTTTTTGGCGCAGAAAGTGTTACGTAACATGTCACCAGACTGTATGCATAGGGGACGCACGCTACAGCCTGAGACAGAAAGTGCAGGACTGTTCACACACACGTTCCTTCCATTTTAGGCCATTACTGCAGTATCACTGCAGGTGTTAGAGCACTTGATTTATGTTAGTGTAACACTCAGATAACATCCATATAACCTTCTTCATCTTGACACACCAATGAATATACAGACAGCTGTAAACCAGGTGCCACTGCATCACATACACAACTAAAACAAAGACAAAGTATAACAGAAAAACATACAACCAAGGTTTTTTTTTCCCAGAAATAAACCTGACTGTTGACATGAAAAGTGCTATTTTGGCTGGGATTCAGTGGCTTTGGCAGCTGGTAGTAGTCTGGGGAGGCTGAATGGGAGGTAAGAGAGAGATTGTTGAATTATTCTCTATTGGCATCCTGGCTCAGTTCAGTACTGCATTGCAGATGCTGAGGCGCAGAGGGGAGGCGGCTGAAGTTGGAATGAAATATATGGAGAGATGAAGAGAGCGATTCATCGAGAGGAGGGGTTATATAGGGTATTAACATAACAACTTTGTGCTATTTTACTCATTAGTCATGTATTCTTCTGAAACCAAGCTGAAAGTATAATTTAATACTAATTAGAATTATTCATAGTAAAATATTACTGCATTACATTATTACCTATTAAATAATGATATAGTTAGCCAAAAAAAAAAAAATCATAATAAAAGAAAAAAAAAAAAGAAGTGCAATTCAAGCTTACAATATTTAAAATTGGGGGGAAAAAGTATAATAAATAAACCTCAAAAATGAAATAACTGTCTCGCTTTAATTACTGAATGCAATTAAAACCACTACTATATTTACTATTACTACTAGTACTATTTTACTAGATTCAAATTTGTTTGTTATGGGGGCTTAGGGCAAAAATGTCACTAAAAATAACAAAATTATGTATTATAAAATACATTTTTCATTATATCAAAGTATCTAATCCAAGCATGACATTATATGTTTAGAAATAATATGCCCCCATATAGGTAAAAAAGGCCCTGAAATTGAGACTGATATGAGCTATATTTTTTTTTATTTAAGAAGTACAAAGTGAAATTCTATTTAAAGGCTACTTCATACTGCCTCAAAAATGTCAAGTGAAAAAGGATTGAAATGCTGAGTGAGAACCAGCCCTAACAGACTTGTCTTGCTAAAGAACAAAAGCACTTCTTCAGCGCAAACACATTCATCATAAAAATTTGACAAAATGTTTAATATATTTGCAGTAAGTGCATCTACTGATCTTTTATGAGGGCCATAGGCTTGAATAAGCAAGGCCCTGTTAGAGCTATCGCAAGAATGCTGAGTGATACACTAAGGTGTGCGTAAAAGTTGCCCTTTGAAGCTCTATACATCACATCGCGCTCATACTGACCTCCGTTTGTATTCGTCTCTCTCCCTCTTTACCTTGGCCAGCACATTGTACAGGGCCCGAATCTCTGGGGTGATTGTGTCGATCTGGACACCCACTCCGTCTGGAGGCACCCATGGCAACACACCTGGCCCCGAGACCCGCGTCTCACGCCCGCTGCTGAACCTCTGATTATACGACCACACAGTGCCAGGATGAAATCTGGGTGGAGGGTTGCTGGTACAGCCGATACCAGTATTGACATACTTCCCGTTAATATTGCTGAATGTTTTTGGAGCAGGATCAATCGTGCTGATGGGGAAATTTGGAGTAAGATTAGAGTTAGAGTCCGTCAGATTGGATGGGTTCAGGTTTTCTACTGTTGTCCTGTTACTGGACTCGAGAGGGAGGATGGTGTTATTGAGAGTCGGTGACAGCAAGGCTCCGGACAGATATGCGGTGTCGTTCGCGTTCTGAAGGGGTATCAAGTCGGGCCTGATAGGAATCAAACCAACGAAGCCGGTTTGCACTCCAATATCTCGCGTTAAAGTCTTATTTTCCACACACTTCGCGCTCTCATCCAATGCCTGTTGCAGTTGCTTTTCCAATACTTTATTGCTGCGTTCCAGTTCATGTACTTTGGCTAAAAAGCAGCGAAAGCGCAAATTTAGAGTTTTGAGGACGCTGATGTTGGATCCCAGGTCGTTTCGCAGGGCCGCGGCGCCAGGAGGAGGTGGAGACACCCGGTGGAGATAGTTACCCAGGTGCAGATACGGTGTTCCCGGAGGGGGTAAAGCGCCTATGTCCAACCCATCTTGCCCGATGCCACTCGTCTGTTCGCTTAAAAAAAGGCCCGCTGGATCGGTCCAGTGGCCCGACGACGCGGAGTCCGCGAAGCCCGTCACCTGGTTCTGCTGGAACGGATACACATTCTCCCCCAACACAGGATTCATTCTGGAGTAGGAAAATCTGAAATGCTCAAAGTCCGGCATGAACACTGATTTAACAGCGTGTCTTTGAAGCCGATCCTCTGAAGTGAATAAACTGAAGGAACACTTGTCCGATTCAGTGGGACCAAATGACTGAATCCGCTCAAACTCAAGCCTTTGATTATGACTGTGACAGACTATAATGTTACGCGTATTTGCATGCCATTTGCTATAACAGTACCTTACCAGACGTGGTTTATTTTCGTAGAGAAGATTGAACGCGTCTTCGTAGGGGATCAGCCAAGCTCCAGAGCAGAGATAAACATGAGAGGAGCAACTGCGGCTCCTTCATACCGTGATTGGTTAGTAGAAGCGCCTCAGTCTCGCACATCGCCACAGCTTGCTTATTTTATCAGACTTCAACGTGTCTTGTTTAATTGATGCTGTGAAATAAGACATTTAACGCCAGGTATTGCGTTACGTTATATTTTATTGTGCAAAATTTAAGTTCAGCATTTTTATTGTGCGTTTGTGTTTCTGGGATTTACGGTAGTGAAGGTGTACCTTTACGTCACTGACTGTAATTGGCAACAGCAGCGTGATGCAAATCGCGAAATCTGAGCAGTAATAATATGATTTTATTTTTTGTACATCTAAATAAGAATACTAAAGGAATCGTACGTTTTTACAGTTAGTCAAAGCAACGTTTAATTTCGTTTTATTTAATTTTTACATGTATGAATATGACATTTAGATAATAAAATATACGGGTTTCTTCATCTGTAGACGCTTTAGAAACGCAGAACATTTAGAAATGTAGTAGTTTAATTGTTTTAAAACACAGTTACCCTTTTTGTCTCCTTCGTATAAGTCCATTATGCTTGAGAGAAATTACTTTCGGAATGGATTTTCATAATTTAAAACCGAAACTCTGTTTGTGACAAGGCAAGGGTAAAACTACAAACTCTCAGTTTAATCTATCTAAATCTTTATTATAATATAAAGCAAGACTTGTGTATAAGCCATGTGTTTCTATTGCAGTGAGAAAGTTCTAGTATTACAATATAGGCTACCAAAGCATACGTCTCACATCACGTTAATTATCTAGACAGTAAAGCTAGCCTATATTTATACAGTATCTTTCAAAACACTGTTTACAAAGTGCTTTACAGTTGAATGGAAGAACAAGCAGGACTCAGACAAATGCAAACAGAGGACTTCATTGTGTGACACTGCAACTCACCCTCATTAATATCTTCAACATGACATCACAATAATTAGTAAACAGAGCTTTATTTTTAAAAACATAAAATCAGAATAGACTGGTAAAAAAAAAAGTCCGCTTTATTTTATTTTGTAGACTTTGGTGTTTGTACAGTCTCTGTGAAAATTAACCATTGAAAGAATATTATTCACAAAAAAAGAAATCACATTACTCATTTAGCCAACTAAGTCAAACGGCCTTGGTGAGCTTTAAATATGAAACACATGTAATACATATTTTTTTCTATTTATTGGGGGCACAGTTTACAGGTGGATCGGCCCACTGGGAATTCTCTCAGTGCTCCAGATGGCCAATCTGCTACTGACTTCATGGAGCGACAGCTGGTTTCCTTACCTTCTTAACCTCCTCACACTCATCTTAGTGTAAAGAGAGCTCGGTCGGTAAATAAAAGCAGTATTAACACAATCAAGTTACCGAAAGCCATACTTTTTGCTCTTAGGACAAAACAAAAGAATGAAGTTATTTTCTTCAGTGTGCTCTGTGAAATAAGAAAATAAGTAGATAGAGTGACTGTCCACAGTGACTCATCACAGCTAGTGCTACACATAATGACATGCTGTGGAAAGTGAGCTGAGATTATAAGAGGGGAGATAAAGGGATGATTACAGGCTCTTGCAAGTCCACTGGCAGCTCCGTGACAAGACACTTAAGGCACTGAGATGTGAAATACCAAGATAACCAAGTGTCAGATTATATTTAAGCAAACAATTAGAAGTTAAACATGTATAATCATTATAATGGAAAGTGAATAGCACTTGCCGAATGCGATCACAAGACAATAATGTCTGTTGGTTGACCAGAGTACATTTTCAACTATATCCATACATGAAACATAAATTAATTTCAGTCACTACAGCATGATTCAGTGGATGTGATACATCTATTTACAACAATATTGTGAAATATTATTACAATTTAAAATAACTGTTTTCTATTTTAATATATTTAAAATGTAATTTATTCCTGTGATGGTAAAGCTGAATTTTCAGCATCATTACTCCAGTCTTCAGTGTCACATGATCCTTCAGAAATCATTCTAATATGCTGATTCGCTGCTCAGTTATTATCACTTATAATTAGTGTTCAATTATTAATAATGGTTCTTCTTATTATTAGTGCTGAAAACAGTTTTCGCTGCTTAATATTTTTGTGGGAATCATGATATATTTTTTCAGGATTCTTTGATGAACAGAAAGTTCAATAAACAGCTTTTATTTGACATTGAAATCTTTTGTAGCATTGTAAATGTCTTTGCTGTTTTTCTTTCTTTCATAAGAAAAAAAAGGCTTACACCAGACAAAAATATTAAGCAGCACAGCTGTTTTCAACATTCATAATAAATGTTTCTCGAGCAACAAATCAGCATATTAGACTGATTTCTGAAGGATCATGTGACACTGAAAATTCAGCTGTGCCATCACTAGTGGATCTATCTGTCTTCCTATATAAAGGAGTGAAGTGCAGTCATAAACGTTCCTCTGAAGAAAGTTCGTCCATTAAATTGTACTGATTCCATTTACACGGCATTGTTATAAGTGCCCATATACTCACTGAGGTCTGAGATAACTTTGCCCAAAGCCTCGGCAGTCCCCATGAGGCTAGAATGATGTTCTGCCTGGCATCTTGCTTATCTGCAAAGCTCAATGAGAAACGCACAGTCCAGCACACTTCCTCACTGAAGATCAACGTGTCTAATGCACGCAGCAAGCAAACAACGTTTTTAAAAACTATATGAAAGTACATAACTTTCCCTATGAACAGACATAAATCATTTAATTCATTTATTTCTAGTTAAAGTGATGCGGTTCAAAATGTTGTCAGTACACCCAAACTTTTGCAGTTAATAATTATAACGCAATTCCCTTCAGTGTCACTATACGGCAGTAAGAACTAACGATGCTGTCAGGCAGCCACACCTCCTATGTGTATGTCAGTGAAGGTGCATTATAGCTGTTCATGCTGTCATGCAGTCTGTTTCCAAATGTAGGAACATATTTATATATAATATATAAATTTCAACAGTATGTGCTATTTAAAAGATTTACAATTAAGTCCACGGAGGCACTTAAGAAGCATCAGGACCATAAGGTGTATAGGGCAGCATCACTGCAGCATTGCACAAAGTGGATCTCTTACAAGTGATAGGGTGCTCCCAGCGGTTTGAATGAGAACTGCAATGCAGTATGACTGTCGTGGACTTTACAGTGCAATGCCTTTTTAAATAATTCAGTGGCTATGCCATCATACCGGGTTTTTTTTTTTTGCAAGTCAAGAGATACTTTTATTCAGCAAGGATGCATTAAATCAAAATGAAAGATATTTATAATGTTGCAAAAGATTTCTATTTTGATTTTTTTTACTTTCTATTCATTAAAGAATCATAAATCATTCTTTAAGAACTTAAAGAAATGTATCACGTTTTCCACAAAAATATTATAATAATAATAAGCAGTAAATCAGCATATTAGAATGATTTCCGAAGGATCATGTGACTGAAGACTGGAGGAATGATGCTGAAAATTCAGCTTTTCACAGAAATATATATAAAGTATATATAATATATATTTTATATAATATTTATAAATATATAGTTAATTATACGGTTTTCTTCCTCTTTTTCAGCTTATCAAATTTGACTTCCATATATTAAATTATATTATTATTAATAATGCTGTATTATTATTTCTAATTCTGAGATGACTTGAAATATTTTACACTATGTTCATGACACTTTTCTGACAACAGCATTCAAAAATGCCAGAATGAATGAAATAATGACCAACAGACACAATGACGCTTTCAGAATCAGGCATTGTTCATTCAGCATGGAAGACACCAGACCCAATATCTGACATTAGTAACGTAGTATCTGGAACAGTCAAATCACAAAGCAACATGACAAAGGCAAAAAACACATGACACAATCCCTTCATCGTACACCAGACAATAGAATCATTTAGAACCGGCAACAAGCACTGTGTAGCACCAGGTTTTGAAACTGTTTGCTTTGTCTGACACATCTGCAATTCTTTTATTAAAACAACTGAACCTTAAATACAAGTTGATATCAACACATTTGATTCCAACATCTCGCAAAAAGTATCATACTGCTTTAACAACGTCAACACAATGACTGAGAACCATTGTAAGCGATGCGGTGTATTTCACGCATTTAACCAAACCATACACATCATTACTTTAATATATTCATAAGCACCAAAATCCAGTCGCGAAGAACCCTGTTGCTGAGCTCACAGCAATACTAGAGTTAATTCATAGGTTACAAAAGAAAACACCAAATGCATTTAATGACCAGGTGTCAGAGCAATTCAAATTAATAATGTTACATGCTGAGTTAATGCTGTTCAACAGTCTGGATTATACGACCGATTTAATACGACCCAAGTAGCGTGTGACCATAAGCACCAAAAAATGTCAGCATACGAAATTTACAGTTGTGGAATGGACCTGTAGTGAAGTGGTGGTCTTCAAGTGCAGGATTTGTGAATGAGTCAGTGCAAAGGCTGAGTAGGTGTAAAAATCTAGTTAAATAATCCCATTCAGCAGCTATTTTCTCGTAATTGCTGGTTTGTCAAATAAACATCTCAGATTTGGTGAGGTAAGTTGATAACTGTTGCCCTTTTATGAACATTGAAATGAGAAAATAAGTTAGATAAGGGATCAGTTTCAAGTCTGATCTGGGACCTGTTCCACTTTTTTGTCTGTTAAAAGGCAAAAACTGAGACTAGCAGGAAATGATCCCATCTGAGAAGGATACTGACAGCAATTACCCAGTCTGAGACCACCTGGATTCACAAGTGTAAGAAAGAACCGTGAGATCTCCTGATAAGCTCCCTGACTGCTGAGTTCATGCGTTTAAAATGAGCTGTAAAAAAGACAATCAAAATAAACAAATTAAAAATATAAGAATATAAAAAAAACAAATAAAAAATACTCCATAAAAGTCATCTTCATTACTGAGCACATAAATTAAAAACTACACCTCCTTCATCTTCACACGTCATCCCTTCTTACTGTCTGGCTGAGAGAGGGATGTGAAGATGGAAAAGAGGACGACAAGCACCAGATTAAGCAGAGCGTGGATCTATATTACGGCGCTTTTCCACTGCGTGGTACGACTCGGCTCGGTACGGCTCAGTACGGCACGGCACGGTTCGGCTCGGTTTGCGTTTCCACTGCAGTTCAGTACCGCTTTAGAGTGGGCGGGATTATTCACATGTTGTTATAGTTGCGCCGCCTCTACTACCACGACTCCTAAAAAAGCCTTTTTCATTCCGCGTCGCCCCATCAAGCTCTCGCTGGATCCGCTCCTCTGCTATCAACGAGAGGAATGTCTGTACTTCCGCAACAGACAACAAAACTTTTTGGTTGTTAAAAAAAGGTGCGCTCGTTCAAAACAGTTGCGTTCGATCCTTGGCTGGCTGTGCTGATTTAAATCTAGCGGTTCTTTTGTGTTTGTGTCGCAAGTTCAGTGACGATTCTCTCCGGCCAATCAGTGACCAGCAGAGTTTACACGTCACGTTTTGGTAACGGTACGGTTCACTTGGAACCCCAACCGAGGTGGTACTAAAAAAAGTACCAGGTACCAGGTACTGTACCCAGTGGAAAACTCCCCAAAAGTGAACCGTACCGAGCCGTACCATGCAGTGGAAAAGCGCCATTAGTGTCTATGGAGGGCCTTAAAACACTTTCAACCCCTGTGTCTGCCTCGACCTCCCTCTCTGTGAATTCTCTTGTTTTGCATGTTCATTTTTTCTTCCGCTCCTGGGAACATCTTGGGCAGTACCTGATGCAGAAGGAAAACAAGGCAAATGTTGAAATATAGATGTATATTCACTAAAACCGATATTCTTTTTTGCTATATTTAGTGAGTTACGTCAGACTAAATTTTCTATTTCTGCACTGATGTCTAACAGCATTGACTTGCATCAGTTTCAAGGGCAAAAATCACATGACTACTAACCATTTCCCCCTGGGCTTGGTGGTCAGACCCACACAGGCAAAGTGGAACCACTCGATAGAACACTAAAGAAAGAGAAACACACATGCTTACCACAAGCACAGCTCTGAAGATAAATATACAGGAATCTGCTGTAATATACTGCTGCAGTCTGGGAATGGAGTTTTCAGCATATGACTAGATACTTAACCTCCATTTTAACTTGTAATGGGTAAATAAATATAATCAAATAATAAAATTAATATCTATCTATATGTAAGCAATAACGTATGAGAGGCTGTGAGCTTGTTGACTTCTGGTCACACTGCATGAAATGAGAAAGGAGACTCACGTCTGTATTGTCACAGCCAATCATCTCCCCGTATGAAACCTGGTGGCAGAGGCAATAGGTGGGCTCATTGGGGTCCACTGGCATGTCCAACACATCCGAGGGGTGCACGTTCCCAAAGTTCACAGTCGGGGTTGAAAACTCAGAGCTGGAAGAAAATTTTATTAGATTTTGTTATGCATTTATTTTATTTTGGGGCATTTTGCCTCTTTTATTGACAGAAACGGTTAGAAAGGCGAAAAGAAATGATGTAGCCCGGACTGTAGGGCAAACAGCTAACCATTTGGTTTTTCTAAAGATTAAAAATGTATTTCAAAACAACTTCTTAAATATTTATGTACATGCTTGGAGGCTCCAGTTCCCCTCTACTTTGAAATCTATTCAACATCACAAACACATTGTATTTACAGCCTAAAGAAATCTCTACTTAAAGATGAAAAATAAAACAAAACTTAAGCTGCCTTTGGCACATACACTATCGTATAAGATTTTTTAAAAATATTTTTGAAATAAGTCTCTTATGATCACCAAGGCTGCATTTATTTGATCAAAAACACAATAAAACAGTAATATTTTGAAATATCATTACAATCATTACAACTATTTTCTATTTTAATATATTTTAAAAATGTAATTTATTCCTGTGATAGCAAAGCTGAATTTTCAGCATCATTACTCCAGTCTTCAGTGTCACACGATCCTTCAGAAATCATTCTAATAAGCTGATTTGCAGCTCAAGAAACATTTCTTATTATTATCAATTTTGAAAAGAGTTCTGCTTAATATTTTCTGAAAAACACGCTATGTTTCTTTTTCAGGATTCACTGATAAATAGAAAGTTCAAAAGAACAACATTTATTTAAAATATAAATATGTTGTAACGACTTTACTGTCACTTTTGATCAACTTAATGCATTCTTATCTGAAAAAAGGATTTCTTTAAAAATCAAACCATTTGAACAGTATGTATATAGTATATGTATGAAGAATACAAAGCTGAAAAGTTGAATTACAAAGACAAACCAGCTTTTACTGCAATTCTGGTGCCACGAGCAGCACAAAAATGACTTTACAAACAAAAAGAGAATTATAATAGAAAATGTGCGTGATTCTCACCTTTGTGTGAGTTTGACCTTCTTCTGTCCGCTCTTTGAGCTGCAGTCATCGTCAGAGCTCTTCACCTTTGACCTAGTGCGAGTCACCTCCTTCTTTTTGGGTCCTCGATGGTCACCTTCAAACAACAATAAACGACCATCAGAGACTGTGTTGTATGTATAGAGATCCACATAAGAGATGTGCATGTGCCAAAACAGCACTAATAGTCATAGGAAGCTATCAAAAGCACAACACTCACTCTTGTTGCCCTTGCTGGAGGTAGAGTCATAATCAGTGCTTTCTATCTGTTTCTCCTTGAGGTCGGCCTCAAAGCGAGCCAGGTCTGTATCCAACCTTCGGATATGCTTGTCCACCTAAATGCATAGAATAAATGAAGTGTGATCCATTGTATTTAGTTATAAAGCAACTAAATGTACATTACAAATACATATTTTACAATATATTTACGATATACTACCATTCATAGGCTTGAACCACGAATATGTTTTTGATTGAAATCTCATTTGACTGCATCATTCAGAGCAAAATCATTAATATTATGAAATATTATTACAATTCAAAATTAGTGTTTTCTATAGCAATATATTTTAAAATAATTTTTTTTCCTGTGCTAGCAAAGCTGAATTTTCAGCAGCATTAATCCAGTCTTCAGTATCACATGATCTTTCAGAAATCATTCTAATATGCAGCTCAAGAAACTTTTCTTATTATTATCAATGTTCATAACAGTTGTGCTACTTAATATTTTAATACTATTTGATGAATGAAAGTATTAATTTCTTTTAAAAATTCTTTCTGACTCCACACTTTTAAACAGTAGGGTACCTTTACATTTAAATGTAATATATCAACAGAATTTGCAGTAGTTATAAAAGCTAATTTGTAAGAAGCAAATGCAAATTCACACTAACCATCTCATAGGTTTGCATCGCAAGCTGGACCTTGTCATCTCCAAACTCTTTACACTTTCCATAAGACTGCTGGATCTGTCTTAACAGTGAGAGCTTCTGTTCAGAGGACAACGTCCGAGCGTTGGCTGTATATTCACGAGCCAGGGAATCAATCTGCCCTTTAAGATCTAGAGAAAGAAGTAATGTAAACAACCAACCACTCCAGGGGCCTGTTCGTCGTACGTCGCTAACTCAGTTAGCTGGATTTGATTGTTGACGATTTGGTGTGATCTTGGATAGTTTGGTTCTTCGAAGCTCATCCCGGAGTTGCTGTCATAGCAACAGGTCCGTAAGCTTAAACCTGCTCGGGAGCAGGCTTATTTCATGTAAACTGGATTAGATGGCATCTTTTTAGCAGAATTGATACTTAAAATCTGTCTGTTATCAACGCTACTTTATTACAAGAGTACCCTACTAATCCAGGGACAATAATTTAAAATAATAATCATTTAAAAATTAATTTAAAGATAATATAATAAAGTAGTCTTTAATACTATAGAGATTTATTCATCATAAAATTATTACTTCATAATTGTATTCGAGTCTTACACACATGCTATACAGATAATGTACAAAAGTAGCTGTTTCATTGTCTTTTGAGGAAGTACAGACTTTCCTCTCGTTGATAGCAGAGGAGTGGATCCAGCGAGAGCTTGATGGCCCCAACACTAAACTCAATCCAGCCATACTAATCATCAACAATAGGTGCATTCGAAGAACCGAATTAGCCAGATCATGATTAGCGCGATGATATCATCTTGGACGTGTCATTTGATCTCGGATGTAATAAACGACGTACGAAGAACGCCAGGGGTAACAATTAGAATTTTTGATATCAACAATTCAATTTTCACTGGTAAATATGTTAATTCTTGATATCAACAATTAAATTTTCCCTAGTTAAAATGCTAATTATTGATATCAGGAATTAAATTTCAACTAGTAAAAACTATAATTCTTGATATCTGTAATTATATTTTCACTAGTTAAACGTCACCATAGGCTGCCATTCAAAATCAATTGTTGATATCAAGAATTGATTTCTTACTAGTTGAAATTTTATTTGTTTTTTCATGTGTTTATTTTTGGTTTTATTACACTTTCTTCTAATACATCAAATAAAAAATACAACCAAAAGGAAAAATATAACAGATAATAATGCGTCATACAAAGTTTGAACGTTTTACTGGACTTTTTTTGTTGTTGTTGTAATATCGTTGTATTTAGGCTACATGAATGAGTCGTGTCCTAATGGGCATTATTTTTATATAACATGTTGTCCAGTCCTTGAAGTATTGGTGGACAAGATGAATGATAAAGTCTATTAAGACATGAATAACAGTCTCTCAATTGTAGTTGGTTCGGAGAATGGACAACGATTTAATAAGAATTGTGTAATCTTGCCCATCTGGTTCATTGCTTATTGTTATGATTATTATTATTAGGCTATTTTATATGATTATTATTATTATAATTATTATTATGCTATTTTATTAGGCTATATTGTTGTTGTAAGTTTGTAACTATAAATGTGTTTACTTAAGACCTAACAACAATTGTATCATTAAATAATTAATAAATATTTTTTTCTGTTTTGGAAATGTGCTTGTCTCTACTATCCCTTTCAACATTGAGTGTTGTTTTGGCAAAACAACAATGTGAGGGGTGTACTCACTTCTGTGAGATACTGTATATTTAATCATTTCTGGAAACTTGAGAAGTGTGTTTTATTGGGGTAAATACAAGCATTTCACATATTTCTATGCACACTAATAATATGAAACTACTGTCGCTACACTACGGTTATACACATTTATTGCATTTATTTTCAATAAAACTGAAAAAGGCTTAGAAGATTCCTTATCCTGTGGCTCCCTCTAGTGGATAAAATTAATATCACAGCCTTCATCTTCCAGTTGAAATGGCTGATAGTTTAGAATTTGATTTTGGCAGGGGCTATTTGAATACAATGAATTCTATTTACACTAAGTGAAAATAGCATATTTTCTTAGCAATAGATTCTATTTACACTATTTAATAATAGGAGTATTTTCTTGCAGTAATAGTAGTTTGATGCTGTTCGTACTACTTAGTGCAAATAGTGGCCAATATCTGCACCTCATTATTGTAGTAGGCTACATTATAAAACAGTACAGGCTACAGTAATAACGTATTGCGTGTAAATTATAATTTTTATTTAAAAATTATTAAATGGATGCCGCCCCTACAACTAGCCCTAACCTTAATCAATATCCACACGTTATTTTCCACTTTTCGATAATTTCCTTCATTTTTATTGAAAATATATGCCTTTCCGATGTGATACGGGATGTGAAAAGGGAGAAGAACGAGTTCGGCAGAAGGCGGAATCGAACTCGGGTCCTTCGCGTCAAAACACAAATGCTTTGTGCTCTACCATCTGCGCCACTGAAGCTGACAGTTAGTCGAAGTCTTTTTGTAGTGTTGTGTAACACTACCACACGTTGGTAGGCGGAGTTAGTGCAAGTAGCCTCTGCCAAAATGAAAACAAGATAATGATTAAAAATAGCCTACAGGAGCGTTTTATTTTCATGAGAGGGCAATCGAATATGCCCATTCTCTTTTGGGCTCTGTACCTTGTCCTCTATCCGCCATAAACATTCATAAAGGGTTGCACTCGTCATTAAATTATGCACATATCCAAAAAGGAATTCATTACTATGCACATATCCAAAAAGGAATTCATGATATCTTAAATAACAATTTTTACTAGTGAAAATGTAATTTTAACATGTAAGAATTAAGTTACAGATATCAAGAAGTATGTGTATTACTAGTTGTAATTTCATTTTTGATATGATAAACGTATTTCTGCGAGTGATGACGTCATTTTTGATATCAAGAATTCGTGTTGGTACTAGTGGAAATGTAATTCCTGATATCAAGAATTAAATGGTTGATATCAGCCATTTAATTCTTGATATCAACAATTCATATGTTTAAATGTTAAAAGGGCGACAAAACTATTACAGATATCAAAAATGCATTTTTTACTAGTTACAATTCTAAATGCACATATCAGCTTTGCATTTCTTACTAGTAGACATATAATTTTTTATATCAACAATTACATTTTTACTAGTAAAAATGTGAATTCTTGATATCAAGAATTCATTGTCACTAGTTGAAATGTTAATTCTTGATATCAACAATTTAATTGTCACTAGTGACAATGTTCATTTCTGATATCTGAAAATGTATTTCTGATATCAAAAATGAGGAGAGTCATTTCAGCCGTGCCAAGCCGAGTCGTACCACGCAGTGGAAAAGCGCCATTACTATCCCAAGCAATCAGACATAAAAAATAAACACGTAAAAATGTCGTTAAAATATGATCCTATATTACTGTATTGAGGCAGGTCTACTGTTTAGACTCACCCTCTGTCCTCTGGTCCAGATCTTGCATCAGCTGGAAGTTCCTCTGCAGTTCAAAGGGCAGATTCTCTATGCCTAAAGAGATAGAGTGACATAAATCATCTACACTATTATCAAGGCCATAAACAGACCCATAAGGCTGTGCGCATTTGAAAACGAGCACTACAGTAAACAATTTCCATCTGTACGAGTACGAGCGCAAGCTAGCTCGACTTTATTGAAACATTGCGCTATAATATCGCCAGGTAAGTTATTCATTTAAAATATTTAATTATTGTAAGTATTAATACTTAAGTATTAGTGTTACATTCTGTCACGTTTACCGGTACCGCACCCACCAAACAAAAATTCAAAGCCATCGTTCACTTCATAACACTGTTTACATTTACAGTTAGCCCGTTAGCTTCAGAGCCCAATGGTCGTACTGACGTGTTTATTAGCGCTGTTTTGTGTCGTTCCGCGGTCGTTTTATTGTAATTCGTGTGTGCATGTGAAGCGTGCAGACATGCCGGACAATTTGAACGCGGAAGACGTTTGTTAATGGGGATGGATATCGAAACAAAGACAATAGCCTTACTGTCCAAATAGTGCTCTAGATACATTCCAGCCGCCATTTTGACAAACACAAACAAAGGTTCTTCCGGTTTGCCGGAAGTCCTGGGGTGGCTATGAGGGGGAGGGGTCATGAGTGGGGGGGTGTCTGTTGACCTCTTTCATGTCCTCTATGTATACTTTGAAAGTGTTGAAACAGAATGATAAAGCCCGTCTCTGGATGTTCAGAGATATGTGCTTTGGCAAATAGCAAAATTAGTGTAGTTGTAACAAATTGGGAACGAATTGTAGGATTTTTTTTGTCTCACATTTGATGAATGGCTATATTCTTCTTTATTTTGTCATCTGCATATCAACATCTGTCAAATTTAGATGAAACAGTTTTGAGGTTAAGTAATGTAATCAATCTTTGGAAAATAGTGATCTATCACATTATATTATGTTGAAGGGAGGAATTTGTGGACACAAGTTTTTATTTTAAAGTGAAAAGATAAAATTAGACCCTTGGGCTAAGATGCTCCACAGGATTGGCACAGAAATATAATTATTTAATTTAATATTTATTGTAATTCATTATTCAGTAATTTAATTCAGATGTACATTTCAGACTTCTTCACTATTCATTAAAACCTACAGGCTAACTGAGTGAAATCTTTCAGAGTTCATTCATAGTGTTGCTATTTTGACATGGGGGATTCTGCTTTGTCTGTCATTGGTTATTCAAATATTCAATATATTATTTAGTGTTGGACTATAATGTACATCAGAAGTGTTACAAAATTTACTGGGCTTGGGACCATATTTTTTATGTCACATAGGACCTCTCATCACAGAGCTCAAATCTAAATATTTCCCGCCAAATTTTTTTTTAAATCACCTTATTGTTTTAGTGTTCTTCAAGACCTTACCAGCATTATCTAAATAAACAAATGAGGTTTGTTTATTTAAATTTTATTTAACATATAATTAACTTTGTCTGTTCTCTCTCTGAAGCCTCTACAGCTTTTCCTAGCATGTAGTCGGTACTTTTCACCAGGAGAGGGCAATAGACTTTATAATAGACTTTGAACTGTTTAGCAAGAGAACCTGCAGACTGAGCTCCAGGGAGTGTTGGTCAATAGCTAGTCTCTCTCTCAGGACAGGCATTATCCTAATAAACACATAACAGAAGTGGAGCTGACAGCCAGACAACAATACAGCAGTTAAAATTTGAGACTGTGTTGTGTAGTACGGAGAGGATACTCTCATTTAAAGGGGTCCGACTCCTATTATGCTCGTTTACAAAGTCTTGATTTTGTTTTGGGAGTGTACTAGAACAGGCTCTCATACTAGGTTGCTCAAAAAACACATAACCACTGCGTGCTTCAGTGTAAATATTGCGTCAAAATCAAATCAATTTGAGTGCGATTTAAACCCTGATGATTGTAACCACTCTAAGTTCGTCTGCCTTGGGAAAGCTAGCGTGTCTCCGACATAGTGATAACACTCGTTGCCTTCTCTAGTGCAGCTCAACCAGGTCTCGTCCCATTCGTCAATATTTGTGATACAGTCTATGATGATATCACAAATCCCGGAAATTATGCGTTGTAGTCCGAACGAGTCGTTCGTTGTAGTTTTTGAAAAGTGATTTCTGTTAAATAAAATATCTCCTTTTGAAGTGGACTTTGAGCTTTGTAACTTTGCAGATCTTTTTTATGCTCAAACAGCAACATTACAGACTAACTAAAGTTGAAAAAGTGAAAAAGCATAATAGGACCCCTTTAAGCGAGAGCTGGCACAATATTTCACCCCACAGGACTGCCAAAAAAACAATTATTGCTGCTTTCCCAATTGAGATGCATGTCTAAACAGGCTTCCTCATTTTAAAATTGCTTGGCCTTGTATTCGCATATGTACTCAGGACTATGTAGTCTGTGAATAATCTGTGCTGCTGAATCATTTTCTAAAATAGCTGTAGATGAACATAATTAAGATCTAGCGAGATGATCACTTGCAAAGTACAATTCAAGATGTTATTTGCATGCTGATTTCTATTCTGTTCTTTTTTTGTGAAGCACTTTCCATTTTTAAAGCACTTTTTTTTTCGACAAGCAGGCACAGAATAAATGTTGATTCAGATAAAACAGCTTGCAAAGTCTCCTCTAGCGGTGACTGATATAATTTTGCCTCACTAACACCCACGTATCGTATGAAGCACTCTCTGTTTAGGGAGTGTTGTCACTGGTCTCCCTCAAGGAGAAATTACTGTGGCAATGCTAATAAGCATTTATGCTCCCTTGAGGAAATTAAGACGGGAGAAGACAAGCACTCTCTCCTAGACAGAGTCGTAATCACAATGCCCATGGTGCTCATTAAGGGTACCATGCCACTCAAATTATTTAAGTGACTTGATTTTCACCATTATTACCGCTTAAAACTGCCAGGGGATGCAAAATATTGTTTATGAGAAAAACTTTAAAATTGTGAATGCTTTTTTTCCTCTTGATTTGGCAAAAGAAAATCCAAAATCAATCATCGAACTGAATTTTTTTACAGTGTTTTCCAGTTCTTTAAATGATACATTTTTTACTTTTATGCTCACAGATTAAATAATTTCTCACATTGTATATTATTGCTCACATTATACAGGTGCATCTCAATAAATTAGAAAGTCGTCGAAAAGTTCATTCATTTCAGTAATTCAACTCAAATTGTGAAACTCGTGTATTAAATAAATTCAATGCACACAGACTGAAGTAGTCTAATTTATTGAGATGCACCTGTATATGATATGATATCATATCATATATATATGATATTATGCCCTTATACTGAAATCCATAAGTGGCTTGAGAAAAAAAATACATATATACATATATAAAATACATATAGACAGACAGACAGACAGGAATCAAACTACATTGAACTTTCAGTCGTTCAGCCAATCAGGTGTTTTAGGACACATGCAGATGGCTGTACGTGCATGGCGGAGGTTATATTTTCAGAAGATTAACCCTTGACATGAACGGACCCTTTCAAGCAAACCCATTTGCAGATCAAGTAAACTATAAAGCCCTTGCACAGGTACAAAGTGACAGGGCTGCGAGCTCTGAATGATTCACTTTCTCAGAGGGCTAAAGAAATGTTCAGAGTGAATAAAACCCTGCTGAATTACTTTGGTCTAACATGGAGTTATTGATCGCGGCCAAGGGCAGTATAGAGCCGGGCCGGAGCCTGGCTCTCTGTCTGAATTAGAGCTCTGTTGGCACAGCACAGGTCTGATGTACTCACACTGTACAAATGTAGAGGGAAGAAATCAGATTTGCAGCGGCTGTACTGCAGTTTGCTATGGGGACTGCTAAGAGCATTTTCCATCATCATCATGCCTTCTATAGCACATTGGGAGGTCAGTACATGTTCAGTGCTATTTATAGTTATGCAATTAGCGTGACAGTATGTGGTAAGTAATACCAGCATGTAATGTAGCCTAAAAGCATGCAGCAATAATGTTAAGTTTAATTATCAGCATGCTACCTTCAAATTATAGATGCTGCATATACAGTTATACTAAAATGATGTGTTATTATGTGCACAGACAGACACACACAATCAAAATATGCAAGAGAGTCATAGGAAGTCCCAGTCTCAAAGTGAATTTGATGTCAGATAGATGCTTTGAAAATGAGAGATATGGTGGAGAAAGGGAGGGAGATAAAGAAAGAGAGAGTGAGAAAAGGATGACTCACTCTTTGAGAGAGCCTCCTGTATCTTCAGGCAAGCTGTTAGGTGCATAAATAAAAGATGATATGGTGTCCCATTGTTGGTTTTGTGATGTCAGGATGAGGCTTCTCCCTTCCTCTTCCTCTCTATTTATCTCCCTCAGTGTCAGGTATATGCCTCCTTTTTTAAGTTAGGGAAAGTTGAGGCATTGATTCGTGTAGTCATTTATAGAGTGCAAAGTTTTGACACTTTGGGTGTCTGAATTTCTAAAGCTGTTGGTATGATGATGTGCTATCATTGATGTTTTGATTGTGTCTGATGATGTCTGTTGAGTAAGTTGATCTGTGTTAACTTAAAGGGGTCATATGATGCTGCTAAAAAGAACAGTATTTTGTGTATTTGGCTGTTGCAAAACAGTTTTAGTTGATGCCAAGTAATTTCATCTAAGTTTTGATGCTAAGTTTTTCTTGTGTATTTTCATCACAAGAAAAATTGAATGTATAGTAGGAGAGAGGGGTTAGACACACACACACACACAGGTTTCCATGTTTTATGGAGACATTCCATAGATGTAATGGTTTTTATGCTGTACAAAAAAAAAAATTCTGTACTGTAATTTATAAACTAGTTTCCTCATAGGGTCCACAAAATGTCCACACAAGTTCCAAATTTAATGGCATTACTACACTTGAGGGGACATTTGGTCACCGTAAAGTAGGGAAGAACCTCTCTCTCTTGCTCTCTCTCTGTCTCCAAGTATTAATATCAATTATTAACAACAGTTCTGTCATGACAACTCTCGGAAGGATTGGCATGTTAATGTACATGACAATGTTAATGTATTTGGTCTTGGCGGAATAGATCTGCTACGCTGCTGCTGCTGTGGC